AAGCCCCCCCCCCCCCCCAACGACCTATTATTAGGGAGGGGGAATGCTGGTACGACTGCAGCAGGCCTGTGCACGGCTGTTGATCTTTTCAGTCAACGTGGTGGCAAAAGCCTGCAAATCGCGTTCACCGACATGTGCCTGCGCTGCAAAGGTTTTCTGTGAATCAAACAGTTGTGCCTGCCACCGTTGTAGGCCGTAAGACCAGCTTTCCTGGTGTACGACAGAATTCTGCATCCGATGTCACATGGCTCCTACTCAATCTATTGCTACATCGCCAATTCCACGGCCCACATCCCACCACCTACTGCCTTGAGCTCGTCGAAGGTACTTCCATCGATGAAATGCAGCAAGCGCAGTGTGAAGCGGGCCCACCTTACAACGAACACCCTGACGATCGGGGCCTGACCCCTACACGATTCAAGAACCAGAGCTAGAGCACAGCAGCTCATCGTCAGGCGTGACACTCGCTCCACAGTCTGAGACGAAAGGCTGAGGCAACAACCTGCTCTCTCGCACGTCTGATGCTGCCTGTGTAGCTACAGTTGTGCATGACAACAGTCGGGCATTGGAACCGAGAAGACTTTCAAGGGTTACAGTTACGTGTTTTGTTCGGCGGTAGAGTAGAATCAGACTTTCTCATATCGCTAGTCCGTGGCTGTGCTGCCTGCTTCCTGAAAGCCTCAGCCACCGCTGTGTGTTCCTGGTCCAGTTGCAATGCAGGGCCAAGGCATCCCTCACACCTGGTGCCTCTTGCCTGCTTAACTCTGCCAGAAGCAGTCCCAGTCCTCCAACTCTGCCCTTGCAGCATTTCTCTCGGCCATCAGTTTGGCAGCAACCTTTCAAGAGACTTAGACGAGTACCACACTGCTGCAAAGAGATTGAATGCATCCAACCTTCGCTACTGCAAAACTGAGCCAACAGGACCTCTTCGCACTGGTGTAGTGACTCGACTGCTTGGCGGCGTGTTCGACGCTCGGTCTCCAAAGCCGCCTTGGGCAGAGGCGGCTGAGAAACCACAACCCGCGCTGCTCTGAGTTTCTGGCCTCGGCCTCTGAAAGACCATCCCTCAGCTTCACCACCTCTGAGGTGGCCTGCACAGCCAAGCCTGACACCAAGGCATTCCAACAAAATGCACAGCATCCTTTTGCTGTGACCTCGAGATTCCTCCAGCTCTTTCTGAGCTAGTACCGTTTCCATCTTCGCTTCCTCAAGGGCCTCCAAGACAGACAGCATCAGTCCATCGACGCAGGAAGCGACTCAGCCGCACGGGCCATGGCCACAATGGCAAGCCTCGGACGAAGCATCGGCCGCCAGCCTCAGAAACCGAATCCACTTCGACTGATGCGAAGCTCAGCTGGAGCAGAACAGCCCCATCTGGCACATGCGCCCCTCAGCACTCCAGGCCCATGGCTCCACACCAGAGTCGACTGCCAGTCCCTGTCAAGCTGAAGGACTGGCACGAGGCACCCTCCGCCCGTTTCGCCACACTTCCCCCTAGTCCAAGGCTCGTTCTCGTTAAATTCCTTGCTGCATTTTCTGTTCAATCCTCCATGCACCGCCCCGTTCAACTCTCCAAGCCCTCAAGCTCCCGCTCGGCAAAGCGAGGCCTCCCTTCGAAGGGCCGCGCGCAAGGCCGTCAGCTCCGCTCGGAAGCGCTGTGCGTTGGCAGCGTGCTGCGAAGCGGGGAAGCGCAGAGCACCAAAAAACAGCACTCCAACTTCCTTGAAATGAAGATGCGACTCTGGCCTGCTGCCATTGCAGCTGCTGGAGTTCGCGGAGCCTTACGGCTTCTGCACGAAGCGCTGTGACCTTTCAGCACCATCATCTGCAGGTCACAAGAATCAGCAAAGTAGTTTCGGTGTCTTGCAGATGCAAGACTTCGGGGGTTAGGATCTGCAGAACATGTTCCAACCCGCCATTAGAGCATGCCGGCTCGTCACGATCATTCCAATGCTGCGCCGGCACGAACAACATCTGAAAACTCCATGAGTCTACCCGGCCAGCCTCGCGGTCCGTAAGATCATTGCCAGGATCCGCACTGCAGGGTTTGCGGGTTGAGACCACACCGGCTGAAGAGAAACACCCATTGCAGTACGGTCAGCTCGCTCGATGGTGCTCGTTTCAACATTGCAAGCCTTGCCTCGTGGCAGTTTCCTGTGCGTTCCTGGCCGTTGCAGAGCAAGCAAAGCAAGACGCATGGTGATGCCACCCAAAGCACGACACGCTCTTTGCCCGGCACCTTACTGAGATGGCATCCAACTCCCACCGAAGCGCTTGACCTGAAGATCTCAGTTGTTCGATCATGACAAGAGACACCACAGCTCCCGATTCCGGAGCTAGGGCAAAGACACATTGCCTCGCTTTCAGCCAGCTTCTTGTCAAGCTGATCCACTTCCTGTCATCTTGTTCTGCCGACTGACTTTTCGGGCTGTGCTGCTGAAGACCAGCTACTGCAATACCCCGTTGTTCATAATCGAACACAGAATTTCGATATTACTCAATGAGGTCGAGGCATCACCAGCAAGACTTGATAAAGAAAAGAAAAGACTGACCCATGCAACCTCCCGTGACCGAGTCTCATCAGCGACCTCAGACAAGAACCAAGCGCAAAGCAACGATCTCTTTGTCTGCGATAGGTGATCCAGCGAAACTGCCGAGTGCCCAACACACTCCAGCTTCCCCTGGCTGGCTGGTGGTAGACAACATACACACTCTCACACACACACAAACACGCAGACAGACAGACAAACAGACAGACAGAGAGTGTAATCTGCAAAATACAATCCGCTTTATGATTTTCCGTCTTACGTTGTTTCTCGGATAGGGTTGCCGCTCTGCGGTTTACGCGAGTGCCTTGCGAAAAACTGCTCGACCAACGTCGGGATGTAGCTCCATGTGGGTTTTTGGCACTAGGCGGCATGATAACCGATTTCTGAAGTAAAACTTTCTGCGGCAATGTTGCTATTGTACCTCCGCCTCGCCCTCAACGACCCCCTGCACCCATCTTTTCACCATGAGCCGAAGGTCCAGCATGGACTCCTGCGACTGACGCTATGCCATGAGATATAGGCAACACTTGCAGTGTCGTTCCTCGGAGTTCTTTGCGATGCTGAGACGCTCATCGGGATACACTTGCCGGCGACGGGTAGACTCTTCAAACGGTGTCCGACGGAAGAAGTATCTGACACCTCTGCACGCAAGCTGGCCTTCATGGCAACAAGCTCCGCCTGAAGCTCGTTGTTCTCACCTCAACAATGTTGAGGGTCATGAGACTCGATGAATTCATGGGCTGCGGGTCTTCACCACGACCGTGCCCAGATAGCAAACCGTGGACAGAGTACAGCCAGCACGGCCAAGGCAAACTGCCACATATGCAGCAAAATTGCAGCATAATGCTATGAATCTTCTGCCAAGCCCCAGGCTATCTGCTTCGATAGCAAGTTGCTGCAGTGACGATTTCGCTTGATCCACCTCAAAAACTTTCTAAATGAAGGTAAGCCTCTTCTCTCACAGCACTACAGACAACCAGCAACTGTGTCCGAAGGGAACTCATCCTTTGGGCCAGCTTGATTCGCGACTTTACAAAGTGAGGCTTCAGCAATCTCGGTCAGCTTGTGGATCTGCTTGTCTCTGTCGTGAAGCTCCGCCTCAACGACGCTTCAGAAATCTTCAACGGGCTTCGCCGTTCCTGCTCGCCTCGTCCTACACTTCACAACACTTTTGGACAGGCCTCCTGCAATCGCACTTTCTGCTCGAGCCTTGGTATGGAGAAGATGGAAACGCTAAAACACAAGAAATGCTCGAGCACATCAGCTTCACTCCGTTCTCCGGTGTGGAAAAGTCACGGGCTGGACCAGATTTTGCTTGGAGTCGAGCAGTGGCACTCTGGGCTGAAAAGCCTGGATCGACATTGCACGAAGCTGTGCTGTCACCGATCTAGCTGAGTTGAAGTGGATCAACGAGCTGTTTTTGACATGCTTTCACTAGCTCGAGACATGACTCGATGCCCAAGAAACTTGCAACAAAACTCTGGTGGCCCTCCTTCAGCTTCTGAAGTTGGGCTTCTTTCTCGGACAGGGTTGCCTGAAGAGGCAGAGCTCGGCTGGCCGGGCGACTGCACCACAACAGAGCCAAAGTGCCTCGTGAGAGCGGCATCGTCCCTCCAACCTTCGGAAAACGCTTGGAAAGAGGAGGATCAAGGAGCTTGCAGCGAGCACATGCACTCGGCGCCGGGCATCAGAACGCGCTGACGAAGTTGTTCCTGCGAAAGTGCACAAACCACGCCGGCGCTCTGTGGCAGCGGACTTCCAGTGCCACTTCTTCTAAGCCAGCTGCGCCATCAGCGTTCTCTTTGAGCTTCTGGAGATGAGCATCTTTCTCCAACAGCATGGCCTCTATGCGAACAGATCTCCCATGTCATCTCCACAGAGCCCGTGAAGTGCCAGAAAGTCGACTTGTGCCTCCTGAGCTCGGCATTTCTGCTCCAGCCTGACTTCTTCAACGGAACCCGACTGTTTCACCTCAACCACGACCTCTCATCTAACATCAACAGCCCACTTTCAGGCAAACAGGACGGACAAGAAGGCACGTGCACGCAGTGGCGACCACACTTGCTCTACTGCTGTGCGCAGACTCCACCGTTTGCGAACTCTAGGCTGTCCGTGGAGAATCGAGAAGGTTGTGAGCAATCTAATCACTCGAGCGTTGGGAACATGTCTTGTACCGACTTGTACCGTAGAATGCTGATCACATTGGCTTGGCCACCCGATTATCCGCTACGGTAGCCCTTGAAGGAAGCTCTCAGAACGAACATGCTTGCTAATGCCGTCAAGACCAGCCATGATCAAACGCTGAGCCGAGTCTGAGCTTCCGGCATCAACAAGCGCTGTGGCAGGGGATCCTCATGCAGGACCACCTCTGTGCAGCAAACTTCTCCCATACTCTGCCCAGAAGCATGCATGTGAATGCATTCGCCTTGCTGCTGTGGGTGAGCATCGCAGGCATGGTGATCCTCTCTGCATGCTCTCACACAGGAGAACCTAGCCTCAAAGTACTCTTGAAAAAGGCCGGGGACGTCTCCTTATGGGCGAAGCTGCACTGGGATGAACTCCTCGAGAGCTTTGAGCGGGCAGAGTAGTTGGACATCAGAATTTCTCTGCGCCTTGTGGGTCTCTGCCGGTAATAGGTTCTGTGACCTCGTGCCATCGTCAACCGTGCTCTCATGTATTGGAACAGACGAAAAAGCCCCAAAAGTACGGTAGCACAGCACTCAGCGGCAGAAACCCTCCTTTTCTGCTTGTCGCAAGCCGCTCCAATTCGAGGGCTGTGGAGCCTGCCAGCAGCCGGGTTCGTTCTGAAGCACCGATCCATCAAGGCTGCAGGACCTCCTTTCGATCGGCGCCAACGCGGCGCCGCTGGTCGAGACATGGATCCTTGTAGCTCCGGCAGGAAGCAACACATCCGGCATCGTTGTGTTGTCGCGCCTTCCCAGCAGCAACAATCAATGACGGCACCTCCGCACCAAATCCTCCAGCGCGCAAGGCAGTGTACAAGGGGCATGGAAGGACAAGGTCTGCCATGTGGTCGTCAACTTCAACTGTCGGTACAAATGGTGATGAGTGATGATGACGATGAATGATGATGGTGATGGTGGTGGTGGTGATGATGATGATGATGACTAGGACCGATAGGTAGGAGGAGGAGTCTGATTCTGGATTCCGATTCTGATGGTGATTGTGATGATGACCATGGCCAACCTGAGCCTGAAGCTATAGGCGCAATACGGTGATGATGACGATGCTGATGGTCAGCCTCGTAGTGCTGCTGATGAAGCCACTTTTGCTGGCGCCACCACCCCACCACCGCCGCCGTGGCCACACTCGCTGCCGCCGCTACCGCGTTGCTGCTGCTGCTGCTGCTGCTGCTGTTGCCGCTTCCGCTTCTTCTGCTGTTGTTGCCGCCGCCGCTGCCGCTGCCGCTACCGCAAACCATCTCTCCGCTGCCGCTGCCACTGCTGCTGCTTTCGGATCTACTTCTCCATCTTCATCTCCTGCTAACGCATCGCCGGCGAATCTCTATTGTTTGTCTCAGTGACACGGCGTTCTTCGTTGTTTCTCTTACCTGGTCACCTGTTTTTCTTGGTCTTGCTGTTGCTGGTTTCGTGCGTCTTGGTCCAGTCCTGTCACAACGCAAGCAGAGCAGTCGAGAGCCCATCGACCAGAGCAGGCGCTTCTGTGGCAGTCCAATGAAGGCTTGGACTTGCGGCGCGACCTCAGTCGTGCCGACCAAATTTTGGAGTTCCGGCTCTTTTATTGCACGAGATACCTAGGGAGCTAAGTCAGCAAATATGCACATGTCAGTATCTGAACACAATCAGGTTTGCAAACCATCTGCGCCTCCACGGGAAAAGCTTGCAATAGCCTGCCGACAGCTGTCGCTGTTGCACGGCTGTGCGATCAGCTGATTAGCAACACACGCCGCCTCTGCAGGTTCAGTTGCCAGCGCCGAATTTCATTCCGAGCACCTCAGAATCCGGTGGGTTGTCACCCACTTTGCTGCTACGAATTCAGTTGTACGTGTTCCGAATCGCTCTCTTCTACAATTTTGACAGGCGCACATTGACGCTGCAAAATGAATTTAAGTCAACTGGAATCTGGAATTACTAGAACTTGGCTTACAAAAAGCTTGAGCATCTGATCGATCCGGTAGTACGCCTCCAGCGAACGCCCAAACAGAGCAAGAACAGACATACCGAAGCAGTCACTTAGGTCTGCGCCGGAACGACTAAGTGCTTGAACGTCGCCTGGGGTGACCTCAGGTCCAATGCTGGCTGAAGCATCGCAACAGGATGTTTTATAGTGTGCCTGTCAGGATGGGGCAGAAACTGGAACTTTCGTCTCCATCACGCAGTTGCTGCAGCATCGAGCCTGCGACGTCTCACAGAGAAGAAAAGGTTTGCAACTCCAGGCTCCCGCCTTCATTGGCTTAAAGCTCTGTTCGGCCGCGAAGCCCGAAGCCGGCAGCATCTGACCGCCTCATAATGCCGGGACTGTTTGCGTTGCGCCTGTCGCCCGAACAGGTGCTATCCGTTTCCAAGCTCCAGGCATTGTGCACACGGGAAAGCGCTCTCCTCGGCCGCCCAGCAAAGAGTCGCAGCCAGCAAGAAACGCACGCAGGTCGTCGCGTACGTAGAGGAGGAGTAGCAACAGCCAAACCCCGAAAAGAGTCCGATGCAGTAAGGCTTAGATCCCAGAAAGAGCACTCGCAGTGGCAGCACAGCACTGTTGAAATCATCAATTGGCGTAATAGTAGCAGTAGCAGCAGTCAGGCTTTTCTTTCTTGGGCGGCCGAGACCTCAGCAGTCAGGCTACCGGCTACCAGAACCAATTCGCTGAATCGTCGCACGCTCCTCTTTCACCAAAGTGAGAGGTTCTTTGTTGGGCACCACATCTCAGTCGTAGACTTTCTGCTCGGCGAACCAATTGTAGAACATGGCTTGAGACACGCACACGAGTATCGTATGATGGGGTTGTGAACGCTTGCCCTCACAGTGTCCGCGAATCACCCTTGGAAGTGTCCACTGGCAGATAAACTGCATGTTGGCATGTTGCAACTGCCTTGATCACTCAGAATCCTGCAAGCTTTCCCAGAGCTTCGTGTCCAGCTTTGGTCTTGCACATGCCATCACCCCCAGCGAACTGATGGATGCTGCGCTGGACCCAGCATTGCCATCGACCTTTCTTTCCGGGATCCAATCGCACATCAAGGTTTGAGACTCACGTACGACCTTGTCATATCATGCTTCCAGCCATCTCACAGCACCTTGTTGCGAACTTTTGCCCTCACAATGTCCCGGAACAAACGGTGACAACCGTTGGAAGGCCCTGATCCTTGCGAAAGCCGCAAGAGCCCCCGATGGCTTCATGTCCCGGCTGAGCCTGTCACATACCGTCACCGCCTGAAACTTCCGAGCTCTCCAAACCATTCGTAGATTCTACGCTGTGATCGGCAGCGCCTTGCATGTCACGAAGTGCAGGGACAGCCATCAGCATAGACTAATTGAAGGCACCACATGGCCATGAATTCACATATTGAGGACAACCACAAAACAGTTCTCTTGAGACACGGCTGCACACAAGTCAAACTGATCCCTGAAAGAGTGCCGCGTGGCCTCAACTTAAAGGAAATTGAAAACAGTGACAAAAGAATGGCAAAGCCCCTGAGCGTTTGATGGAGCGGGCCAAGGCAATTAGACCGTCAAACCCTAAACCCGAGAAGGAACAGGCACAGCAAAATGGGTCATGAGTCATGGGATGACAGGTACGAGGACACATCAAGTCTGTCGTCGATGACTCCTACGCGTTGCCTGCTTGCATCCGAACTCAGGTTGCACTGGATGCTGACTCCAGTTTGCCTGGCGGCTGACTCGTCATTGGGTTCAGAGCTGCTGGCTCATTTGTTCAGTGGATAATGCAAACGCGCGCCCTACAGTTTCCTCTGTGTCGATGTCAGGATTATGGCCTGCATTCTTGTCCTTGCTCCTGGTTCAACATAAACCGATTCGGTTTCTGTGGGAAAGCTGTGCAAGTTGCAGACAGCGCTGCTCTCACGTTGAGGCTGGGGCGGACGCACAGTGCTTGATATCACTGGTGAGGTGTGGTGAGGTGGGTGACTCGGTCTCCCACACACCGCTTGCAGAGCCGCTGTAGATCACTAACCTCAAGACATCCAAAGATCGCAGAAAGCTGTGGACACACGAGGGGCTTTGCTAAGCAGAGGGCATCTCGAAGAGCAGCTGCAGTGAAAGAGCTGACAGATGTGACATGATGTGACTGTGCAACTCTTCCTCTCACCCTCCATCCGACGCTTCCCTGTGACATTGCAGTGCCGCCTTCCCGGTAGGATAAGCCGGCAGCCGCTGCAGTAGGCATGCGGCTGTGACCGCCCCATGCTCGTGCAGAATTAGCAGGAACGACCGATGACCCACGTTGATCTGTCCCGATTTCATCGGGAATCGTGTCTCAAGCCATGCTGTGTACAATGACAGAAAGATCAATTGCAAAGGGAGCGATTGAAAACAACTGAGTTTTCTGCTTCTCCTGTACAGAACTCATCTCAAATGGAACGTGGTGCGTGTGATTCACATTCACCACTTGAGCTTGGCGACAGTAAACTCAATCAGCGAACTTTCGTTGATCAGCTAGGAACTGCACCGGCCGCTCTCCTTCGTTCCACGGCCTCAAACACCAAGAAAGCTGGAAAAGTGCTGTTGCTGATGCTTGTCACTTGCGCATGCTGTTGTCCGCCGGCCTGCTTGCAGATGCATGCCTGGCATAAACCCAGCTCGCCCAGAACACACTGGCGGACTTGCGTTTACTTCACTTCGGCCGTGCAACTCATGTATCGTTCCGAACTAGCAGGGAACCCGCACAAGCCATCATTGACTGCCCAGGCGTGCATGGCGCTGCCGAGTCAGACCATCCTGCAAAATCTCAACCTGATTACAGAAACTGCAATAGAAGGCTTACCATCCTTAACGTTGTCTCACCAGCATGGTCGTGTGAATAGATTTTAGGTATGCAAAATACTTCTCACCATTGCATATGCAAGCACGTCCAGCAGGTGGGGTCTGGTTCAAGCTCGTGGAGATGTCCCCTGACACTCTTTTAGCTTTCCATGTGCGAACTTCCACAAGAGCTACAGCCTTTTGGCGAATTCACAGATGCATGCTGCCAAAGTTCGAGCCATTGCGAAGATGGTCGAGCACGCTCGAAACAGCACTTGCAGCAAAAGCAACTGCTTCAAATGCAAAGGAATGGGCAATGTGACGCTACACGCTGCTTTTGTCAACCAGCTTGCAAGTAACGAAACGCGGCGAAGCTGCCAGTGCTTCAGCCAGGCGTCGGGCGACTGCCTGCCCCAGATCCCAATTATTCAAATCTTCTCACACGCAAGAACATGCCACACTCCAATGGCCTTCAACCTTCCTCCGTTGAATCACGATGTGCCTTCAACGCTGCCCGCACAGTATCGCAGGCTGCAGCACGCAGGCGGCAGCCAGCTTGCCTCGGCGAAATGTCATGAAGTCTAGATGCCCAGGGGCAACCGATGACTGCTTCGGCACGATAACCTATGGAAACTCGTTACAACCTCCAGTCAGAAGCCCTCAACAACGGCTTGCTGGCGGGACAGAACTGGGCCCCCTACTGGCTAAAGATCTTGTGCAGTGCAAGCAGGTCAGCCTGCAGATACCGCCCCGACAACACAATCAGAAGCTGAACTAGCACGACTAGCTGCGGGAAGGACGGGTCGTGGTCACTTCGATTCGATGACAATGCAAAGATGGTAGACAATGTGGTCTTGCAAGACTTGTTACGGCACGATCAGAGCGACCTCGACAATTCGCTGAGCGACTCGTCACCTACTAGCCTGGAGGTACAACCTTGGCCAGCTCGAACTTGTGTGATGATTTCATGCAGCTTCCGCACGTCTCCAAAGTCGCTAACCTGTCATCTCGCGCCTGTGCGCTGCTCGCCCAGCCGTTGGTCTCCTCGAGCTCAGCTCCTGCAGTGCACGACATTAGTAACGAGCAGCCGATTGTATCCAACACTCACATCGACGGGGTCCTTCAAGCCATTGGAAGCCCGCAGTTCGACGCTCAAGCTCATGCCTCGGTCAAGGCTCTTTCCATGCTGAATACGGACAGGCAGAAGTGGACAAGCACCGAGCTGGCAGTTTGCGACAACTTGCCTGTGGGTTGGGATATGGGGTTAGAGCATAGAACTCTGGCGAGCGAAAGAAGCCGCAGCACCAGCTTGCCTCTGGCTAGTTGTGTGCCTCTGCGTCATGTGTTCTCATGAAGAAGCAGATTGTCACAGGCGCTAGCGAGTCCAGCGAAAGAAAATCGGATGCATTCCCCTAGATCATATGCCAAAAGCAGTGGGGCTAAGATGGACACGCATGTCCAGCCGAGCACCCGGCAAACCTCGCAGCAGAGTGTCAATTGTCTCAGTCACCTGAAGTCGCTCGAGCTCCTGAAAGTCCAACTCTGTGACATTGCGATGAGTATCGTGCTCCACTTAATCAGGAAAACACGTTGTAATGACCGCAATTAAGCAAACCCGAATGCGAGTCCTGAAGACAATCATCTCGTGGACTGCCTGTGGCCAAGCACCTGGCCAGTGATGACATGCCAATGCTCAGGATACATCACCCCCGGACGAGAGCAGATGCCCCCAGCTACCGACGGGCCGATGCGAACCAATACAACTTTCATAACACGTGGATGCAAGCTAGCAGCTAGTACATCGCTTCTAGTTGCACTGCTGAAAGCTACAGCAACATCGTCATCGGCCTCGGCGAAACTCTCCGAAAGGAGCCTGACACGTTCCCAGATGCAAGATTCCACCCCTGGCTGCAGCTTCGGATTTCGCAGAATCTACACTTAAGGCATCTCAGGAAGCTTTTCCGCGGACTACATGGTCAATTGAGTCCGGTGTCCTGTTTCGAAGTCATCGCGGGACAGGTCTTTGCACAACGCCTGCAGATAGCCATAGCAATGCTTGGGAGTGTCACTGGCATTCAACATCACAACATCCACAAGATGTTGCACCACAACAGCGTCACCAGGTTGAGTGCTTCTTCAGAGCAAGACATCCTGAAATTGTGCTGCACGCGTGTGCGTGATCTAGCGATAGCCTCCGCGGCGCAGAGGGCACTCTGTACCTACCAAGTTAGCGTCTGGATCAATAATCCACGCGATAAAACAAACTTCCTTTACATTTGCGCAAGGCCCAGCACCAGCTCGCACCTGCTCTGCCCAAACTTCGCTCTGTGCAGCGGAAACCTTTCTGAACTGGAATGTGAAACAAGACCAACCGCAACCTACGACAAAGTCATTCTGAAAGCAAGACTTTGGAAACACATTCATCTCGGAAGCTGTCAGTTCGGCAGCAATTTCGGACAGCTTCTGCGCGGCCTGAAAAAAATCAGATGTCGGCACTGGAGCATGTCGCTAGCTTTTCAGGTGCGAGATATCTTCTGCCAAAATTTACTGAATGTTTCCCAGTGTAGTTTTGTTGCACAGGGGCAACACGGTTTGGTTGTGACGTGGCACCATGCCGAACTGAGCTTCAGCCCTTCGGGACCCAACTGACAACTTGTGAATATGAGTGCCTCGTATTAGGTGTAGCTGTTGCATCTTGAGCATGTCGATCAATGTGACAAATAAGCGCTCGAACCAAAAAATGAAGGAAGAAGTTGCGAGCACATGATCCCAACGTGCCTCCGAAGTTTGCAGGCTCATCGACGAATAGATTTCCGCCGCCATGGTGAGACTATAAATACACGTAACAGCTTTGGCTCCACAATCGTGGGCAGGGCAAACATTGCCTCGTCTGATTGAAGGAAGAAACCAACCTAAGAATGAAAGGAAAGTCTCACCCAACTGCATGTTGTTATGTGGCTGCATCGCGACAACATGCTGTTCAGCGCGCAACAAGTCCTTGAACCAAGTATTGCACATGTACTTTCAACAATGTTCCGACACACAATGTGGCCTTGGGCCCATGCAGACTGGAAAAATCGAAATTACTTAAATTAGAAGCGCATGCATAAACGCAGAAGCAAAACTCCAAATCCGCCATGCTCCAAGAAAGACAAAAATGGAAGGTAAACTCTCTGCGCACACGAAGACTTCAGAAGAAAACACGAAACTTTCGAGGCTTAGAAGCGAAGAAATTCAGTTACACAGCGACCTTTCTGCGATGTGCGTGCGTGCAGCGCAGGCTACTTTCTTCAAACCTTGGTTTTTTTTTTTTTCAAAAAAATTTCATTTTTGCAATCCTTTCTAACTTGAAGTTCTTGCATTTCTGGAAAATCTCCAATTTTGTTGTTGGATCTCTCTCCTTGGACTCTCGACCAGTGAATTTTTCGCAACTCAGAAAACATACAAAAATTCATTGTGGACAGAAGACAAGATCTCCCAAAGTTGTTGAAAATGGAGATTCCAGCCAGACTCGAAATCAACGACAGAATCGATCTGAGCGCTCTGCTCTGTTGCGTTGCTCCAGTCTTGTGGTGCAATCATTCTTTTCCACATCCAACTTCAACAGTGCCTCTATGTGTGTAACTTTTGCTCTAGCAAGAAGCACCTTCGACTTGGTACTTGCTGCTGACTCAAAACTGCAACGTAATCCAGTTCCGGATCCGAACAGAGCATAGCTCTTGGCAAATTCAAGGCCCGAAAATCTGTTCGTTATCGTTGAGTATAAGCTGGAAGAGATGCTACCGCTGCGCTCCATTCCACATCTTCCTGCTCTGTCGCCTCCAGATTTCGGGCCGAGAATTCGCCAAGCGTTGCAGTTTTTTTTAAGTCGATTCGAGCTACGAGTTCCTTCTAACTGAAAAAAACCCGGGACAGGGTTGCAAGCGGAGACGCGAACAAGGCTAAATTTGTAAATAAACACGCGACAAACAAGTGGAATTCAAAAAGTGATCCTGGAGCGGGGAGGGGTGTTTTGGCCTTTGACCCCCTTTTTGACAACATTGTCAGAGAAAATCGCCTCCCTCGTTTGACAAATTTGACACAGGCGACAGGGCACCGATCAGGACACCCGGAAGAGCTGTGCTCTGTTCGGACCCCAAAACTGGACGACGTTGCAGTTTTGAGTCGATTCGACCTACGAGGTCTCTTCCGAATTTTAAAATCCCGATTCACTCAACAGGGTTGTGACGTGAGTTGGCTTTCCTCTGAGAGAGAGCAACGCTGTTCTTGTGAATGGCCCTACGCAAGGATGACACGCACAAATCGAGAAATGTACCAAGTTTTTTACGCATGCCCACATTGCGCTACGAGACATTTCCATATCCATTCCCTGTTCCGAGCTTTCTAGTTACCGAGCTGGCTTCCACTTGGACTCTGAGTGTGCACGGATTGGAAGTTGTATGACACCGGGCATCTACAAGTCTCAGTCCGCCAGACGCGCATGGTCTGATTCAGCTGGCACATTAAATGACAACTTGTGCGTCGAAGACGCTGGGTTCATGATCTCTTTTGGAAGTTGAAGGTGCGGTGGTCTTTATGGCATTTCGCGTCATACATGATCAGCTGTCATGAGGCCTGGTTTTGTTTTTGGTTCGTGCAAGCAAGGCGGCAGATTTTTCGCCTGTCGAGGCATTGTGCACAGTGTGAGGAAAACGCAAGTTGCAAGCGACATTGGCAAAGTGGCCAGAATGCCTCGTGCTGCATCTGACGCTGGCACACAGTGCACATAACTTGGTGCAGGATCGGAAGTAGCATTGGGGGCATTCTGTTTTTGGCACACAACGGCGCAATTGATCAGTGCCTGGCTGCTTTTGGCTTTGCGGATGCCTCTGCCTGACTCTTCAGCACGCAGTGCCACTTTGCTTGTTTGTTTTGGTTGTGTTCTGCAAACGTTTGCAAATCAGGCTGGCCGCATCTCTCGGTTGTTTCAAGCTTTTATATTCGTGTAAGAGAACCAGAGAACCATTCGTTGCATTTGTTTATCAGGAAGTTTGTGGCTAAACACAGCCAGAAGCTCGTCGTTGAGAGTGGAGTTTCGTGTTCCACAAATGGGCTTCGGCACTTTGTCGCTTTGTGTTAATTGTTAAATGACAAGATGGAGTTTGGGACACAAGTGTCTGTTTCGTGTTGGCGGTGGTGGTTTCAACGACCTGACAGTGCCTTGCTTCAGCAGCTTCTTTTCCAGTCTTAAGACGAAGCAAATCAGCTCTTAGAGCTGCGTTAACGAACCGGCGCAATGGTCGCGTTGACATGCCGCTGGTGGCTCGCGGTGTGCAGCTTGGCCACCGCCGTCGCCTTCAAGGCTCGAATATGAATTCTTGGCGGTTGCTTCGGAATCGAGCTGTCGTCTGCAGCGTGTCTTGCATAAACTTTGTCGGCATGCAAGCTTGTTCCTGCATCTCTCCAATTGAGATGCCTTTATTTGCTTCGGAGCCCTGCGTCTTGATCGGCAGGTTTCCGAAGCACCGATGGAGATCGTCAAAACCGATAACGAGACCCTCAAGAAGCAAGTGGAAGGGATCGCGGCGAAGAACATGGAGGAAGAGTTCAAGCAAATGAATGGCATCCCGAATCCTGCGAACTTCACGCTGAACGGAAGCATGCCAAATGCCTCCCAGGGTTTCTGGGCCGATCAACGACACAAGAACCCTTTTTTGCGGTACCTAGGCCCTTGTCATTCCAGCCCCAATTGTTGCCAAGGTGTTGGTGAGCTCGGGAAGAGCTTCGAGTTCATGATGCTGAAGCTGGCCCAGCTTGAGACGCTGTGCGAGTTGCAGCAGGCTGAGATCGAGACATTGAGGAAGACGGTGAAAGGTCTTGCCGAACATGTGGATCACCCGGACAGCGTGGCGTCTCTGGTGCAGAAAGACGAGAAATCCAGAATGCAAGAGACCCAGCAAACCCTGAAGAGGGTGCTCGCCAAGCACGCTCAGCAGCACAAGAACAAGGACTTCCAGCCAGAGGCTTCTCGCCAAAACTACCGCCCCCCCGACACCAAGCCAGATTCCCAAAAACGCGCCTCCGGAGCCGGGGCGAATGACCGAGCCGAGCTGCTGGCAGGAGGAGCCCAGCAGTCGGGGAGCAAAGGCTCGCAGAGGTGGGGTTCGTTCGGTGGCTGGGTCGAGGACCGCGTTGAGGCAAGGACAGGGTTTCTGAAGGCATGTGTTGTGGTGAGCGAAGCAATTTCGGGACGATGTGCAGTCTTGCGTTTTCTCTCGTTTTTGAAAGAGACTACGGCCTACGGTGAAGAGTAGTGTCAAGCCGGGCCGGTGGTCCTGAACTCCTGAACGTGTAGAGGGTCAGCCGCTCCCTGGCTTCAGACATCCTTGATGCTGCCGGAATGCATAATCCTGCAAAAGCAAGCATAGAGGGAGAACTGGAGAACTTACTTGACACATCTTGACACCATGGATCCTTCAGACGGGTTGTTTCGGACGATTCTCTTGACGGCCTCCGTGACCTGCCTTAGTTGCTTCGCACGCTAGTCCCCCATGCAACTGTGCAACATTGTGTAGGATATCGCCATGTAGGATACCTGTTTCAGCAGCGTCTTTTTGCTTCCTAGCTTGCCACTCAGAACCCAGCAAAACGAGTTTCAGAAAAAGTACACACTCCCCGCCGAGAGGTAACAGAGTTGCGATTCTGTGGCTGAAGCCCAGAGATGCAAACCTTATAGATCTCCCAAAGCACAACCTCTGAGACCAAGCACGAGGATGTCAAAAGCGTCGCTGAGAGCACAGCGGATGCTTACGAGGCAGCCGCAGACAAGGTGGCCTCCGTTTCAGGATTTGGTTCAGGAGTTTGAGGCTCTCGGGCGACTCTAGGGGCTGGTCGGGTTGGGTCTGGCGCTGCAAAGGTGGCCTTCGTTGCCAATACGGTGATTGACACCGTGGAGATGGCTGTGAATATCCTTCTGAAAGGCTTCACCGATTGGTCCGCCGACTGCGACATCAGCGGACCCAGCGTTAGGGATTACGTCGACGAATGTGTGATTACGGGCTGGAGAGACATAACGACTACATTTTGGGGTCAAACTATCGTACTCGGAACGAAACCCATCGTCGAGTGTAAAAAAAAGAGTGTCCTGATGGCGCTTGACTGGGGTCGGCAGAAGTGTTGGATCCGCCTGATGGGCCAACAGATTACGCTTTTCGACTTCAACTTTGGGTCCATCGAAATGACGTGGCCGGCTCCAACTAAAACAGCCATCGACATCGGCACAGGACTGAGCGACTGTCACGGAGGCAACATCTTCAAGTGCCTGGGCGACAAGATCGTGCCGGTCGTCACGTGGCCCCAGCCAATTCAAAAGATGATAAACTTCGGCAACGCTATCGGCAATTGCCATGGTGGTGACGTCTTCAAGTGCTTTGGCAACAAGATCGTGCAGGTCGTCACGTGGCCCCAGCCCATTCAAAAGATGATCGGTTTCGGCAACGCCATCGGGAATTGCCATGGTGGAAACGTCTTCCTGTGCTTTGGCAACAAGATCGTGGAGAACGTGCCGATGCTGAACACCATGGTGTCGAGCTGCAGCGGTAGAAACCTTTTCGAGTGCTTCGGCACCAAAATTGTGGAGAAAGTGCCACCGCTTAATGCCATGGTCTCCATGGGCCGCGATCTTGCGAGTTGCTTCAGTGGCACAGAACCGGTCGAGCTGTTCAAGTGCCTGGGCACTAGGATCGCCGAGAATGTGCCCCCGTTGAATCGCGTGGTCACCCTCGGCAGGGACCTGGTGAACTGTGCTGACGGCGCAGAGCCACTCGACCTCATCAAGTGCTTCGGCATGCGGCTCCTCCAGGAAGTCCCCCCACTGAGCTTCCTGACGAAGCTGGGCGAGCTCTTAAAGGAGTTCCTGGGGCACTTCACCAAGTATGCCACTTCGGTCGTGAAGACTGCCATGGACAAGGGCCTCGGCTTCGTGCAGACGGCCGCTACGTCTGCCTTCCCGGAGGTGGGGTCGCCGCCTGCGGTGCACCACGCCGACAAGAACCTCGTCATCAAGACGCATTCACAGTCGGGGTACCAGAGCTTCGCCCAGGTGCCGAAGCGGACGTCGGCGCTGCAGCTCGTCGAAAGAAAACTACCCCAAACCCCGAAACACTCTACAGCTCCCGAGCAAGAGAGCAGAGGCAGACGGGCGCCAATGCATCGCGGGCAGGCGGCGATGACGACAGTGATGCTGCGATCACTTTCAAGGTCGGACCCTACGGGCCCGAGACCACGGGGCTGATCACACAGCTCCTGGGAACTCTCTAGTTTCGGTGGGTGCGTTGCTCGTATCAAGTTTGTCTCTAGAAGCATTTTTTCAGTCTTCTTCCTGCACAGCAAGCTTCTGAAGAGTCAGGTTCGAGGGCAAGGAGACGGACACCGGCTCCTGCCTGGCCTTCGCGCCACGGACCAAGACCGGCACCGGCAACCAGGCGACCAAAGCCTAAATCCCAAACTCGAAACCCTAAACGGTCCTAAACTCAGAATTCTTATAAAGGCGACGAAAGCAGACTGGGTGGTGGACAGCAACGACCCTTGCTGGACTATGAGTTCGATCTCGGCAGTCATGATGTCTGTCGCAGGTTCTTAAAGTCCTTAACAGTTCTCAACAACCAAGGACAAGTTCCTGCAGCTGGAGCCATGGGCTGTTCCTTGTGACAACACGTGGAAGCAGCGGAACTGGGACAAGTGGCAAGGTTACACCTTCTACACAGCAAGCTCGAACATCGAGAAGTGCGTCACCGTCACCTTCGCCGTGGGCTTGCAGCCCGTCGCGGCTTTCGTGGGCGGCATACAGTTTGATGTGCTTCCAACGCCCTTTTTCGAGTTCGACACCCAAATTTGCTGGCCGAAGCATCACCCAGGCGGGGTTGACATCAGTGCCCTCCGCTTTGAAATGCGCACCATGGGCATCCTGCTTTTCGGCCGCACCTTGCGCTTGACGAAGCGCTTCGGCGACGGCACGGACTTTAAGGGCAGCAACCTCGATCGGGGGATCGAAACCTTCCGAAGCCAGCTTGGGCTGGAGTGGGGATCGGACTTTGAGAGTTCTTCGGGCATGAACAAGATGAGCCGCGCCCCGAAGCTCTTGCAGACGAACGAGACCACCAGCCAGGACGAGAAGGCCGCCTGTCCCAAGTGTAAACAGACATTGCGTCACAACGTGGCTGCTCTCCGTAGTTTCGCCTCCCGACGCGACACTCAGGCCGAAGAGGAGGGTGCGATGCAGTGGGTCGACGCAGAGGACCGGGGCGGGGCCCTGTCGCCTCAATCAGACACAGGCTCGTCGAAGAGCCGAAAAGCTTGAAGACTCGAACCCAAGCTGAACGCGAGGAGCTTTATTTGGCATCTGCAGAGCCTCCCGGACTGCAAGGAAAGCTGAAATTGGCATAGCCGCATGGCCTTGTGACTGCGGACCTCGCTGACATGCGCCTTCAAGATCGTTGTACTGTAAGCCGTCGTAGTGACCCCGAGGTACGGACCAGAACTCTTCGTCAACAAGACGTCCGAATTGCGCGGCCCGGCCGCGCACCGCCGCCTAAGCGCCCTGCAGCAATCCAAGGAGCCCGAGCAGACAGGGTTTGTGGGGCTTGTGCTCCGGGTCTTCCCCCGGAGCCTTTGGTCTGGTGTTTTAGGGCGCGTCGCTGTAAACCGTTGAACTCCCTGAGAGGCGTCAGTAGAGCTCCAAGTCTCACGATCCCGAGCTCCAAGCAGGAGTCACACAAGCTTTTCCGCTTCAAGCATCCCGGAATGGTCAGCTTTGCACTGGAGGCCCGGGGTCGCGAATCGTGGCTGCACTGCCCGGTGCGGGTTCGGGAGGTCACAGTGTAGGAGTTCTTCAAGCATTATGCTCTGAAGCAGGGGCTCTACACCGATGGCACCCTGGAGCTGGGCGTAGCCGGGACTTGCACTTGAACGAAGCTTTCCACTGTCCAATTCATTCCGCTGTTTTGACCCCTCTAGCAGCATGCATCAACCCTAAACCCCCTAAGCCTGCGTTTGCCTGCGTTTCGAAGCCGTGCGTTTCGAAGCCGCATGCAGCTGTGAGTCTGCGGCCCTGAACGCTTCCCGGCTGGTTTCCACTCGGAACCTGCCCGCCACTGATCTACTGTCGGTTCTTGTTTGCTTCCAATACGCACGCTCCCCTCCAGGCTCCCAGCTCGGTGTCCTGGGTCCTCGGGCTCTCGGACTCCCCTTCCTTGTTTCATCTTGCTTCGTGTTTTTGTTTCGGTTTTCGGGACGCTGCTCAGGTGCAGATGGGCTTTGGCCCCTTCGAAAGCCCATCGACGAAGATTCCGCTCGTGAACATCGTCGAACAGTTCTCGTCCATCCTCAGGTGGGCCATTGCCCAAACTTGCCTGATACATAGGGTTTCGGAATCACGCAGGGGCGCTTCAGAAAGATCAACCGGAATGTCTGAACCACAGACCTTTCCCCTGCAGCCTCAGGGCCCTGCCCTTCATCTCGTCGGACAGCCGCGGAGCAGCCGAGGAGGCTCTGCGCGATTTCGAAGATAAGAATGAGGACAAGTTGGAGAACCAGGCAGGGCACTTAGTGTTTTGAGGTAAAGGGTACCATATGCTTTAGAGTTTGAGAGAGAGGCAAGGAGCGAGAGAGAGAGAGAGAGAGCTTTGGAGCTCAGTTGAAGAAGAGATATGGAGGCCGCGCACAGGGAGAGGGAGTGCGAGAGCGAGAGAGAGAGAGCGGGAGCGCGAGAAAACAAGCCTTCGAAGGTGCCGTTATTTCAGCCCGCGGACCCGTCTTCCATGGTGGCTTGGTTCAAAAGCGAAGATGCCGGGCCAGAATGGGCGAGCGCCGTGGGCACCTGGAAGGGTCGCGTGACGAAGGGCAGCGTCACCGAAAAGGTCGAGGCTGGAAATGGGGCGCACAGACCTGTGCGGTACCTCTCCGGCAATACCCACGCCGGATATGACTTTGGCAAGATCATGAAGCCGGACTTCACGATTTGTTCAGTCACCCGCTACCTTCAAGGAGGTAAGAAGTCCCGCATTCTCACAAACAAAGACCCTAACTTCCTCCATGGCCACTGGCAAGACAGTGCAGGTCTTGCTCATTACAAGACTTGGGCGACGTCGCACGATGTTCCGAGCAGCACCGACTGGCTTGTGATGTGCGGCAACAACAAGAAAGTTGTCTTTGTGGGCAACGAGCGGAGGAACATTGCTACCCAGGAAACTCCTCTTCACGACACGGATTTCAACTTGTACATCAACGAGGGATACGAGCAGGAGTTCTCCGACTTCGGTGTCATGGAGATCATCACATGGAACCGTGCACTCTCTGAAGACGAGATGTGGACCAGCATGGAGTACCTGAACTCGAAACTCCAGGCAGGATGCCGCCCCCCCCCGTTGTATCCATGTTGCAGTCGTGTTCCAGCGCTTGACATCGGTTTTTCAGCGCACAGATTTAAAGGAAGACTACCCTAGGCATACTCGACAGGCCTTTTAGGGGTCAATGGTTCTATGTCTGTTGCCACGCTGCCATGCAACATCACTGCAGTTCGTGCCGGCTCGGCGAAGGAACCCACGAACCCGAGTGCAGCTTGCATCTGCGAGAGTGCAAGCACGCATCCGCATACATTAAGCCGACAGTGAGTTCGAGTCGATACATGAGAGACACTGAGATCGCCACGCAAATCTACCCAGGGGTTGTAGGCCAGTAGGCCACCGAGAGGTGCCGAGAGCCAGAGAGCCAGAGAGAGAGGGAGCGAGAGAGCGAGAGACGGGTAGAGAGAGAGAGAGAGAGAGAGCGAGAGACGTCAGACACAGACACGGAGAAAGAGAAGCCCTCAAAGGCGCCTGCGGACCCGTCTTCCATGGTGGCTTGGTTCAAAAGCGAAGATGCCGGGCCAGAATGGGCGAGCGCCGTGGGCACCTGGAAGGGCAGCGTGACGAAGGGCAGCGTCACCGAAAAGGTCGAGGCTGGAAATGGGGCGAACAGACCTGTGCGGTACCTCTCCGGCAATACCCACGCCGGATATGACTTTGGCAAGATCATGAAGCCGGACTTCACGATTTGTTCAGTCACCCGCTACCTTCAAGGAGGTAAAAAGTCCCGCATTCTCACAAACAAATACCCCAACTTCCTCCATGGCCACTGGCAAGACAGTGCAGGTCTTGCTCATTACAGGACTTGGGTGACGCCGCACGATGTTGCGAGCAGCACCGACTGGCTTGTGATGTGCGGCAACAACAAGAAAGTTGTCTTTGCGGGCAACGAGCGGAAGAACATCGCTACCCAGGAGGGTGTTCTTCACGACACGGATTTCAACTTGTACATCAACGAGGGATTCGAGCAGGAGTTCTCCGACTTCGGTGTCATGGAGATCATCACATGGAACCGTGCACTCTCCGAAGACGAGATGTGGACCAGCATGGAGTACCTGAACTCGAAACTCCAGGCAGGATGCCGCCCCCCCCGCGTTGTATCCATGTTGCAGTCGTCTTCCAGCACAGCACACCTCTTTTGCAGCTACCTGAAGCATACTCGACAGGTCTTTCTGTCCAGGGGTCATGGGTCCTTTGTTTAGCATCTTGGTCATCACATTCTTCCTCGCCTGGTGTTGTGACTGCTGCACTCATGCCTGGAACTGGCCAGGTCGCGGGGCAGGCCAGGCCGTTCAGAGAGCTTTGGCTTTTGAGACCCCGGAACCCTGAACCCGAAACCACCAACTCCGAAGCCAGGTGTGCCCAGGCCTTCCCATGGGAGACCGCTTCATTCAGCTCGGGGCCCAGCTGTTTCTCAATAAGCCGCAGATGGTGCAGCCGGCCATAACTGTAGAGCCTTGATATACCTTGTACATCGGTACAAGGTTTGCCATCTACAAGAGCGCTCAGGCTCGGGGAATGGCGACTGGGTGAGCATGACGAGAACCACTTCTCCATCTCACACAAGGACAGCTGAGTGTCAATTTTTCAGCTTGTTGATCATTGCGGGTTCCTTTCCCTGTAGAGCTCGGCTTCAGACTCTTTAGGTTGAGGGCTTCATGGTAGGTAAGTATTAATGCCAGGCTTTGCACAAGAAGACCAATGACCCCATGGCTCCACCCTAAACATCAAACCCCAAATCCGAAGCCTTGAAAACGAAACTACGAAAGTCCTGAAGCCTTAAACCCGCGTGAAATCTACCTGAGCTTCCTTTGCAGTAACAGCAATAGCATGGCCGAGTTGAACAGTCATGATTAAGAGTCGTGACCTACGTATGCCACCGTAGGCTTTGGCGCGAAATCAAAACTCGGCTACTTTGTCCGCCTGCGAACCTTGTAGATCACCGTTCCTTCCAAACTGGTAGCGGAGCTGTGATGTCGCCAGGCAATAGTTTTCTCTTTTGAGACCTGTGTCGAAAGGCCTATGATCCAGAGTAGGGTTGAGCCGTGTGTGCGGCAGGGCTGAAGCTTCAGCAGTCGTTCGGCACGCACGGTCCGCTGCCAGAGACATATCACGATTGAGAGTTTCGCATCAGATTCTCAAAGACTTGTGTGGAAGTACGCGTATACAAGATCAGGAGTGCCCGTAGAGATCGCAGGGGCCAACAGGCCGCTGAAAATTTGGACGACGATGCGGGCGCGTCGGTGAGCCACCCCAGTCTAGATGGCGACACCGACGAAGCCTGCGATTGCCACGCTGAAGCACGTGAAAGATTCTAACCTGGACATGCCAGAGACCGTCAACAAGACTCTTGAAGGCTTACGAGGTGACGCTTCCAGCATTGCGAGAGATATTGGGCTAAACCGACTGTTGGAGTCGGATGGCATAGACCATCTGATTGAAAAATTCGTCCACATCGTTCACAAGCTTTCCCTTTCCAGTCGGAGGAGGCGGCCGGGAGCCCATGCTCAGTTACATAGCCCGCAGAAAGCGAGGGCGGGCAAGACTCCAGCAGCTAGACCCGAACATGCGCTATGAGAGCCAACCCCTTAGTCGAACTTTCAGGGCTAAACCGCCAAGAACCGCTGATGGTCGAGACGGCCGCCAGGGATCAGACGGTCGAAGAGTACGCCCGGGTGTTGATTCAGCATCATTGCATTGTCCATATATGAAGGAACGATTGTTGACAGAGACAAGCACTCCGAAGGTACAGACCCTTGGCAAAGCTCCAAAACCAAGCCCCGAAGTATGGGTACATAAGGGTATAGCTACCGTGAGGATGAGGTCGAAGAACATCCCGAAAGAACTTCCCACGACGAGCTGTGAAAGGATTCAGAAGTGGCAATGTAGCTCAATGCATACCCTACGGTAGCTCTTGAATTAGAAGCAGATATTCCCAAGGAAGAGTATGCGGAAGCTGTGCAGCTTGCCTATGCAGATACTAACACACTACATCTAGCCAAGGGAAACGGCCAGGGCAAACCCCATGCAAATCCGGTGGTAAAGTGATTAAACCGAATCTTATCATAGCAGATCCAGAAGCCAAGCTGGCTGGGCTGAGCTGAAGTCCTGCAGCCGATGCATATGATGTGGAGCCGTTGGCCACTGGGCCTGCGATGCCGAATGTAGGTTCCGGGACAATCCACCCCAGCCAGCCGCAGCCCCAGCCCCAGAACTGGGTCAGGCTACTTCCGGAGTGGAGGCGAGTGCTGACGAGCGCCGCAGGAGCAGGAGAGGCTGATGGGCCAATTCAGCCACAGGCTCTGTGTACCGAGACCAGCCGGAAGAAGTTTTGTGCTCGCGATGAACGGGCCGCACGATTTCACTGAGGGTCAAGGACCCATGCGGGTACCGGTGTTTGAAGACTGGGCTGGTAGTGGTTCACCATATCGACGATGGGCGCTGTGCAGGAAACACGGGCTGATCTCGATAGGGTTTTGGACCACGACCTGCTGGCCCACTGTGAGATCACCGCCGGACCGCTCGAGACCGAAGGCGTGTCGGTGGAAGTTTTGGAAAACCCAAGCACGCCGAGGACATCATCAAGGCCCTGGATCTGAGCCTGGTGGCACGTCACCTGTGCCTTCGAGGAAGCCGGGCTTGCGCGGGTGCTTCTGCCAGGTACCGGTCAGCCGGTCGGTCCGGCATCTACATGTCTACCACGACATGCAGTATGCGGTGAAAGAGCACATGGCCGCACCGAGGCGCTGCGACATGCAACAGGCCATGATGCTGGGGCGCTCTTGTGAGGGCGATCCGAGCACCTACGAGAGGCCGCTGCAGTTGGGTGTTTTCAGCGATTGAGGAGGATGCGTCGAGACACGTCTGGTGGTGAAGGTAATCAACCGCGCTTGCCGGAGGTGGCGCTTGTCATCGCCAGCGTCACGGTTTAACCAGATCCTTGGGATAAAAGGGCAACTCCGCAAAGAAGAGTTCATCCAATGGGCTGCAAGCTAACATGCTGCTGGGATTGCTCACCTGGGTGACAACCACGTGGACTGTGGCAGGTCGAGCGGTTCGTTGGTGTGGCAGGGTGCTGTGCCGAAGGGGCAGCACGACACCAACCGGAAGAGGAACTGCAAAGCGAGGAGAGAGAAGATCGGCGACAGCGGGTGGCTACGCCGCCTGTGCCCGTCGATGAGCTTTTCGGGGATGCAGTGCTTGCCTCTCCGCCTCAAGATGCGAGGGCACAGGTACCAGAACCAGAACCTCATGGTGGAGAAGATGCAGGACGCCTCAGCCTGTCCTTGGAGCACGCCGCCGAAGGGGACAGCAACAGGGTGCGTGAGCGGCTTTCCAGGAATGGGAAAACGACCGAAGCACAACCCTCGTGATTGGAGCATTCGGAGCTGGGTGCGAGTAAGCTCCGGAGGAACCCTAATTTCCAATACCCGAGGGCTTGTGCCGGAGGCTGCCCCTGACTCGTCGGTGTACAGACCACTGCGCGACTACCGCAGCCCTCTTGTGGGATCGAACAAAGAAGGCCTGCTGCTTTGAGCCCGGTAGCTCCTTTGTACGTAGACACCGCGTTTTTAGCCTTCGCAGAAACAGGTCGAAGACAAAAGACTTGCGATTGAGATGGCCGGCTGGGCTACGACAGACGCTGTGGGAAGAAACGCCGAACCACGAAGTGTCTCATCCTTACGGAGACATTTTGCGAATAATTCCTACCCACTTGCAACTGGCTGACTGCTTACGAAATCCATGAAGCCAACGTTGCTCAACAACATTATGCCGTCCACTGTGGTGGTCGTGAGAGAATGGCATGTGATCGAGCCAAGTCCGTCGACGGAGACGCAGGAGGAACAACAGATCCCGACATAGTTCGGTAGCCAGGCAGTGAAAGAAAACCACTCTTAGAACTTTCCATGTTAGATGCCGTCCACCTGACGAAATCACGACGTGCAGTGCCGATGCTTGTATCTGTTCGTGTTCACTCGGAGATAAGACGGGCGTGAAATCTACCTGATCTTACCCTGCAATAATAGCATGGCCGAGCTGAACATTCATGATTCAATACGAGTCGCCACCCCTACGTATGCCACCGTAGGCGCGTTAGCGCGAAAAATGCGAAAAATCACCGACTTTGTCCTCGAACGCTGCAAACCACAATCCTTAAACCCTAAACATCCATATCGCTCGCAGGATGGGTGGACGGCCCAGATCTTCCGCAATGACGGCACCCTGCACCCTGGCCCCCGCCGCGAGCCTTGGTTTGCCTTTTCAAATCATGATCTGAGGTTTTAGGGTTTAGGGTTGCAGGGTTTAGGTTTGAGGGATTTAGGGTTTACGGTTTCAGTTCTTTAGGGTTCCAGGGCTTAGGGCTTAGGACTTCGGGCTTAGGGCTTGGGCCTCTGTAGTTGGTTTCCCTAGAAAGCGCAGCTTCGGCGTGAAGGGGAAGGCAAGGCTCATCGCCGCGAGTTAGGCAACCGAGGTGGTGCTCCAAGAATGTCGAGCCAGAGCAGCGCTGTAATTCTTGCTGCTGCTGCTGCTGCGACTGCTGCTGCTATTGCAAGTAGCACTAAGTCTTACTCGTGGTAGCAACCCATTCCAGCTAAGAAACTTCCTGCTGCGCAAATCCTTGCACGAACCGCTAGCGGAATCGATTCGCATGCTTCTTGTTAGCCACGCGTCGGGACGGGCAGCAGGGGCACCAGATGGCACCAGGTAGTTTGCTTCCAGAAACAGCCTCCATAGTGTTGGTCATGCCCAGCTCCCAGTTCCCCGACGCCTCCACGCTTCATGTCCCGAGCCCCAAGCTTCACACCCTCAAAGCCAGAACCCCTACCCCCAAGCCTAAAGCCATTTTCAATACCTTCTCCATGAAGCTACTGAGTCGGGATGGCTGCAGACTGAGGACTATGGGATCTGGAATAGACAGATCGGGAAGCCAAAAGGGATCAAGTTTGGCAGCAACTGGGTCGAGGCTCTTTGAGGGGGTTTAGAGTGTTTGCCTTCAGCTGTACAGAGCTGCGCATGATGCGTGGTTTTACGCTGCTTGGACTCTTGAGTGTCGGGCCTTGAGGAGTACCAAGCTCTCTGAGCGTAGGGCACTTGCAACAACCACGCAGCGCAAACCCATCCTTGGAAAGTGTCGGCAGCCAGTGCCCTAAAAATAAACCTTTGTGCAACCGTGCAAACCCGCCTCTCTCGGAACCAGTTGCTTCAATGACGTTGGCTGAGGGATTTTCTGTTTTGCAGGTCTGGGATTCCCCACCTATCTCTATCCCGACCTTTTGAGTCGGTTGTTTGGTGCTGAGCTTCCAGACCCAAAACCCTTGAGCTCGATCTTAAACGTCAGGCATGGCAAGGTCTAGTCAAGGTCTAGTCAGCTCGAGACCCCGACAGTTGGGCTTCAGGGGCCTATGTCGCCTGTGAGAAAGTTGTGTTTGCCCCTCTGCAAGATTGGCGCCTTCCGCATCGGAACCATCGACAACATCCACTTGTCAGTCGCGCATAAGGGTGGCAAAACCGATTCTTGGTGAGCTTTCAGCCCGAACCCCAAGACCCTAGGTGATTCCCTTTTTGGGCTCCTGGGGGAGGGGGGAGTTGTTGTTCTAAGCCATCGCCGCTTCTAGGGGCCATCATGCGACCTTTGTTCTTCTGCACTGTATATCAACATGTCCTTAACCTTTTCGTTTTCGGGATTTTCTGAAATAGAATCTTGCCGGCTCGCCTCTTTGCTTGAGACATGGCCCGGCTCCTTTGAAGGTTTCGGCTGCGCTGCGGAACTTTGTCATGATCGAAGTACCACAAAACCAACATAAGGTGTGGTGTTTCAGGAGTGTTCTCCCTTGACTCTAGGCGAATGAAGGCGGAGTGTTAACCTCAAGCCCTACTTCTCGCCCTGAACTCCCGAAGCTCTGAACCCGAAGCCGTGAAGCCCCCAAGCTCATGAGGCGCAGATCTTCAGAAATGACGGCCATTTGTTCCCGGGGCCGCGTGGAGACTTTGGCACTTACGGAAGGCCGTCCGCACTCTCCGGGATCTCTGAGGGCGACCGCTGCTCAGTTTATATGTTTACATTGGGAGCAATGGTTCAGGCTTGCAGGGTTCAGGGTATAGCACATTTCATAAGTTCTCAGTGCTCCTACGATTTTACGGTTGGAGGTTTCAGGGGTTGGGGTCGTTGGGGTTCGTCCAGATGTTCCCTGCTTCGCTTGATGTTAGGTTACCTCCAAATCGGCCAGTTCCGCCTGGGGGATGTCGATGGCCATCACTTTACTGTGATCCACACAGGCCTCAGATGCTCGGCAGCGCTTCAGTGCCGTGATTCAGTTGTGGCTTCGTAGCAAAACTCAGGGTATTCGGAGAAGAAACAGCTGGCCTTTGTTCGGTTGTCGGATATGCGCAAATCCGAGGCAAGACGATCCAGATCTACAGAGATGATGGCACACTGCACCCAGGCCCGACACTCTATCTGTCGTCACTTCCTGTGAGCATTGCCCCTCCTGGTGCTAACACCGTCTGAAATCCTGAACCTTATGCCCCATGTTCTGGACCTTGACTACCCCCCATCTCTACTTGGCAATCACGGGACGTTCTATGCGAACCACCTCAAACCCTCAACCCCAAACCCTCAACCCATACAGGTCCTCGAAATGATTGGCAGCAGCTCGCCACGAGGAGCTCGGAGCCCTGTGTCAGGGACCAAGATCCTGACGTGCTTAACATGTCGCCGGTTTTTGGGCTTTTATGCCTGGTCTGATATCGTCACAGTTTCGTCGACGCACCCCAGCACCCTTTACATCTCACCTCCTCTTTTCATGAATGACCTCCCGGCCTTGAGCTAAGGCTTGCAGAGTTTTCCAGAAGGGGTTTAGGGTGTAGGGTTTAGGGTGTGAACAGAGATATTAACCATTTTTCACCTAAAGTTGCGTTCTTTCCACCCCCCCCCCTCCTCCGCCGCCCTGCACCTGGCCGCTTCTTTATTATAAAGTCCAGCTTGGTGCTTCGCAACTTGAGTACATCGTCGAGCTACCGAGTGGCCCGGAAGTTTTCGTGGTTCGAGTCGAGATGTTAGTATGACTGCGGCGATATTCTGTAATTCAGGGCTTTCGGGCTTAGCTGTCATATGAGGGGCATACTCCAGACCTGAGGCTTGTAAGCTTGAAGCGGAGGCCGTGGGGTTTGCGAGAGGAGCATCATCCCTTGCTCCGAGGACTAACGACTGACGACTGAGCAGGCTGACGCCAGGTTCGTCTGAGAGTGACCGGCTGAACGAATCCGCTGCATTGCTGTGCCCCTTTGTACCTCCACAGTATGCTAGAGGCGCTGTGGGCTCCAATGTAACGGACTGCACCTGTAGGACGGCGGCTTTCGTTCAGCCAGCTTCACTTATCCCATTTTCTGAATTTCAATTTTACTTGTTAGCGCTCATTCGAGCTCTTTTGTAGAGCTCGCAAGCTCAGAAATGAAGTGGATGAACGGGTGTGCCCACGAGTGAGCCTTCGAACCCAGCTGCTGGTTGCTACAGGAACGTGCATCTCCGATTATTGTTTCGACCCAGAATACTGTTCCTGTTGCTGCTGTCTGTTACCCACATCACCAAGCCCATCATTGCAGCAAGCTTGGGTGCTTGAGTGGCGTGCATCCTGGCATGTTGGGGCAAGTCGACGGGCCCATCTTCTGTTTCGTCCATGCGTCTTTCAAGATATCGATTAAGTTGCGGTTCCGGCACTATGTCGGAGACCGATCGAAGGCGGAATGGTTTATGGGGGAAAAAGTCAGTTTTCCGGATCAGAGGCATGCCGTGCATGTTCCCTCGATTCACGCTGACACCGGCATCGCCATCATCATCCGATGACCTCTACACAGAGAGCCTTCACAGATGACTGTGTGCCACGGGTGTTGTATAGCCGGAGATAGCGATTGTTTGGTTCGGTTTCAGCCGCACCGCTTGCAGGTGCATGATGGAGGTGCAATGACATGTGTGCTGCAGTGCCATTGTTGAGAACGAAACTTGAGAAGACCATTCTTAACGGCAGCCACTTGCTTCTTCACACCCTGCCGGTTCAGACGGTTTGAAAGGTTTAAGAGATGTCACAGATTTCCCAAATACGTGAATCTTTTTTGTCATATCAGAACGCATGTCTTGAACACTTTTCTGTAACATCATTTTACATGTTCTATAATTGATCTAGCAAAGAAAGATAATTTTCTGTATATTTAATATCATGGTAACCCTTCGGAAAAGGAACATACTCAGTTTTTGCATCCACCCTAAACACGATCAACATGTTTTTTGTGATGAGATTGCAGTTCAACGCATCGACAGCACCGTCTTTTTGGCATTTTTGTCATCATCCTGACTTCGCCGAAGCTCCGCTTAGCTCCGTCATCCGCCTTGGAGGCCCCCCACTCCAGCCGATAGCCGCCAACTCAGCAAGCTCCCACAGTATCTCTCGACCCTGGCCGCCAGCCAATCGACTTGCCAAAGTGATTTGCAAGCTTACCCAGTGCTTGCCGAGTGGTTTTTGAAGCTTGGCCAAGTGGTTTTGAGTGCTCAATTGCTTCCCCAGCTGCTTGTCAAGTGGTTTTCAGGCTTCGCTGAGTGCTTATATGCGTTGACTTTAGGTTGACCTTTGCGAAGCTTCCGGAGCCCGGATGGCTTGGGTAGCAGGATGGGCTTGATGTGAGGGCACAGATGGTTGCAGCTGGCGAGGCCAGCGAAGCTAGCATAACCTACGTAATGCAGGATAGGGCTAAAGTGAGGGAATCGTGCCCCCGATGCTGCGTGTTCAACGGCTGCGAAGCTGCAGCTCCCGGTCCGAAGCAGAACGTCCGAAAAAAAAGCAGAACATGACCGTATGACACCCACAAAACCTGTAATTACAAGGTGTAACGGCGAGCTAGGTACGGCTCTCATGGTATGGTACAAGACCCTCTACCGGAGAAGAAAGTTGGGAGGTTGCCCATGTCAAGAGCCTCAGCGACAAAGGGTGGTAGAGTCCGACCGTCATCGCAAACTACTTAAGGACGTCGAATCCAAGTAATCCCCGTAGCCATTCTCGCGCCGTCGCACAGCTTACTGGCCCCCATCAGCTTCTTGCCCGATTGTCGCGCACACCAACGTCCGAAGTCCAAGGCACGTCGCAATGCAAAGGGGAAGGAGGCCCCAAGGTCTCACGTTCAAGGCAGACCGCACAAAGTGGCAGACGGCTTGACCGACATGGAGGGTGTCCAGCCCAACGGCGAAATGCAAGAAAGGGCGGATCACACAGACACAATTGCAAACCCTAAGCTGGAATTACCCGACGGCCCGATTGCGAGCAGATTTGTTGCCTAAAGCAGCGCTGGGGTCTGCTTTCGCTTCTTGGGCCTGTTGGAGTTGACCTTCATAGTAACAGGGAGATGCGCGAAGCGCTGTTATTCGCAATTCAACCAAGCTCTGCATGTCCTGGCCGTATGCATGCATGGCAAGCCGGTTGCTTGAGAATGCACCGGTGTTGTAAAGTGCCACTCGGGACATGGTTTTCATGACCAGGTCCGACCAGGCATGATGTAATTCTTCCGCTCTCCCAAGAGTTTGTGCTTGCCACAACGCACAGCCTGCCCTCCGTCAGGCGGCACTTGCTTGGGCAAGCAGTCCCTCTCGACGTCGCCCTCCTCGGGCTGCACTCTGAACTTACGTTCTTTCTCGGCCTCCCGCTCGGCCTCGCCGCGCTCCTCCTTCAGCTTGCGCTTCTTCTGCTCGCGGAGCTGGCTGATTTGCTGCTCGCCTTGGAGCTCCCGGGGTGCCGCAACCTTCGCCCACCTGGCCCATTTTCTCCACGGCCGTGAAATGCTGGTCCATGTGCCAGAGGACCACGTGAGCTGACTGCTGGATGTCCTGGGCGTGGGTGAGGCGGCCCGGGCCTCGATGCCCTGCTCGCGCTGGAGCTTCAGCGCGGCAAGCTCCTTCTTAGGGGTTTTAGGGTTGAGGCTTGAGGAGTTGAGGGTTCGGGGGGTTAAGGGGTTCCGGGGGTTTAGGGTTTGGGCAGAGGATCTAGGGGCAACACCGAGGCCGCATGTAGCTGTAGAATCTGTATGCAGCAAAGGTTTGAGCAATAGTTCGTTGTTCAAGCAGCAACTGACATTGTAGCTCGATTGCGAAGACACTGTTGAGCACCATGTTTTCATTCGAGGCCAATTTAATTGTTGTTGCCGCCGCAAATTTCTGGCTCAAACATGATTCAAACGTAGAGTTGGAGTTGACATCGGGTATCGTAGCATCCCATCCAAAGTCTTGAGGCATTCACATTCAGCTGTTCCAGCAAACATGAACGAAAGTGCACCACCTTTGCTTCAAGGAGGCATGGAGAATTCTTGATTTTCATGGCTGGCATTCCTATCAAGACTTCAGGGAAGAGTCTCCTGCTGCTGGCACCTGCAGGTGGCATCCTCGGCCGGTTTGAGAATGTCCGCGTGAAAAAGAGCGCCAAGAAGACCGTCACGTGTGATGTCGGCGACCAAGTGTGGAACCGGGTTTGCAGACAAAACCGTCCAGGTCTTTTGGTTCATCATGGCAGTGATGAGGATATCCGCGGCCAGAAATGGGGTTCCTCTCGCTTGAAGTTTTTGGCTCAACACTTTCTTGGGGCATACAGCCAAGCTCAAGCCATTGGCACGAAGGATTCTTTTGCGCTTGGCCTTTTGGGCCTCGTTACTTCCTCATTAAGGGTTGTTTCGCTGGTCGATCTTGATGAGGCTGCGACCCCGGAATACTTGCGGCACGATTTCCTGAAGCCACAGTTGTTACCTCAGTCACTGGCTAGACGTGAATGCGATTCGGTGCAAGAGCGGGTGTGGCTGGAAGATGAGGAGGTACATTGCAGGGAGTCTTTCAGGCATTCTCTGCTTGTGAGGCACCTGCCAATCGAGCGAGTTGATGAAGAAGCCAACTTCATTGCCACCAGTAACATTAATGAGACTCGTTTCCACAAGGTGGGACCTCACCTCGTTTGATTGTGTAAGCTTTGGGGCAGTCGAGCTCATGCAGGGTTTCCATCGCCGCCACCAGCCGCGAGCTCAGTCGAAAGAGAGGTCGTGAGAGAACTTGTGCGGTTTCTCGAAGCCGAAGTTAAGTCTGAGGGCCGACATTCAGCAGGATGCTGCTCGACTTGAACACGAAGCGGCCAAGCCGGCCTGAGTTTGAAGGATTGACGCACGGCTGCTGGGAGCTGGAGCGTTCAGTGCTTTCACAGGCCAGAGACTGGGCTCGTCAGGAGCTTGAGCCTGTGGCATGTGTGTCTTCTCGAGTGACGGGCCGGGAGCGTCTTCTGCTCGCAGGAGCGGGCAGCTGCACAGGCTTCAGCAGCACATCAGCTGCGGGACAAGCATCTGGGCGGCGAACGTGTAGTAGCCCTGCCAGGACTCGCCTCGCGTCTCGCGTCCTGCAAAGGTGCACCTTCAACATCCTTACGGGCGAAGGGATGGGCAGAGAGTGCGAGTGTGGGCCTGAGCTCTGGCCTCCTGACCCCGCCCCAATCCCTTTAGCAGAGCTTTCTTGAGGTTTCGACATGTTGGGAAGAAGATTCTGAACCCGTACGGCAGCATGCAGGCGCAGAGAGTCAACGCTGCTATGTTTCAGAAAACTAGTGCCGTCTCCGTCTTCTGCCTTTCGAACGGCGTGGAGTGGACTGCGGCTTGCGGCTTTGCAGTCGGTAGCATTAAGACCTTTGCATCTCTTGGCAGGCCACTTTTTCGGAGCACGACAGGGAAGAGCGACATCGTGTCAAGAATTCCAAGCACCGCTTCTTCGAGCATCCTGCTCCGGAGAAACAGGCCCTTTCTCTCGCCTTGGAGCCCAGGGTTTTCAGTGTAATCGATGACAGGTACGAGCAGCAAACCTCTTCAATGAGGGGCTTCAAGGCACTGTTCGAGAATCTGCGGTTCTGGGCTACGGCAGGCAGGGCATGGCAGGGCCCGGCTCAGCAGTTCGGCCTGCCATCGTTGCGTGCACCTCGCTCCTCGAGGAGTGGTGTTTCCCGAACCCGGGCTCGTTCGTGGCTCTCTCAGGACTTGCCTCTGCTTTTCAATACGTTCAATCAGCTTCGTGCACATGCTGAGGTGTGGCGTTGCTGACAATTTCGCTCACCTTCAAGCTCTCCCACCGGAGCCAGAGTACGTCGGGTGCCTCAACGCCCCACTCGCTCCACTCGCTCTTGCCAGCCTGACGTGTCTTTATTAACTCAGGAAGCACCACACAATGGAAATGCGTGAGGGCCCTGGTTCCGATTGTCCAAAAGCAGAGTCAGCAGAGTGCCGGACTTGCTGGGACCTGACGTTCACCATCCAACTCGCTCAACTTGCTCTCGGTAGCTGCAGAGTTTTTGAGGAGCCAGATTATCTTGGGTTGACTTGGAGCACCTGGAGCACAGCGAAAGTTTCACCAGGTGGGAAGCGGGAGGATCATCCTTGCCTTCGTTTACAAAGTCGCGTGGAGTAGCATTCAGTTGGAAGGTCGCAGCTCCGGCGCAGGAAATGTAGCGCCTGGCATCGTATTGACTTACTTGACCTGATCTGCATGTGCCGAAGGCGCAGCTGCATGACACGAGTCTGAATCCAGAAAACCTGCATGCTCGAGGTTGCTTTGTTGAAGCAAAGGAGTCTGCCTGAACGCTGATGAGATTGATGCCGATGCGAGCGCGGAGTTTGATCAAAGGTACAGGTAGACAAGCATGCTCACAACATGTCTCCTCGGCCCGAAATGGTGAGGGAGCAGTTCTTTCATAGAGAATTTGGAGGCCAAAGGCTCTTGCGTTACAGAGTATAAAGCTGTCTGCGCCATGGTGGACCGCATGCCAGTAGAGGAGGGTTGGGTGTACGGCCAAAAGCCGAAAGAACCGGAGGCAAGGAGCGGGTGTTTTTTTGGGCAAAGTGTCGGTGATTTTGACAGCATGGCGACTTCAGGCGCCGCCGGATCTCGAAAGTCTTTTTGAAGCGGCTGGGGTGTCGCCGGCACTTTTTGCTGTCCTTGCCATTCTTGCATTGCGATTATGCAGCAACTGCCCACAGGTACCAGACAAGCTTACAAACGGGCAGCCACCTTTTTCTCCTGAATGGTATGCAGGGGCGAAAGAGAGGCCAGCGCATGTCCTTCAGTGGCTAAGAATGAAAACACAATGCTCCGGAAAGCTGGCAGGCAGAGGGTCCGCGATGCGGAGATCGAGAAGATCATGAGCCAGCGCAATGATGTCCGTCACCAATGGGCAGAGTTGGTGCCCCTGGCCTGTCGGCTCGCACGGTTATGATTCTCCAGCTTGTGCTCTCGTGCATTTCCTAGCCCACCGAGATGGAGTCGTGCTCGGTGTATTCGGTGTGTAGCGAACAGTCTTGCGACTGACATGTGCCAGATGTGGACCGACCTGTCAGTGTGGCGGGACCGAATCGACTACACAGGCAGAAAAGACTGGTGATGGAGACGCGTGAAAAGCTCGACCTGCCTCCTGCCTGGCAGCTTCTCTCGCGGAACCACTTGCAGACCTTCAAGCACTGCTTGCACGAACAAAGCATGAGCGGCCAGGCAAGCTGCGAGCACTTTTGATCGGTTCCCTTCGTGCGTCCCTGCAGACGATGTTGCCCGTTTCCAAGAGATCCAGGAGATCGCCGCGAAGGCCCCCAAAACGAAATCAGAGCGAGAGAGAGCGACTGTTGTGCAAAATGCATCACCATGCGCCAGCCGCTGTGCCTCCAGGCCGGCATCCGGCAGGGTCAGGTCAGGAAGCACCTGGTCGAGGCCAAGGAGCAGATGATGGATATCGAGGCCCCAGACGATGCCGTCTCAACCTTCTCTCTCTTCGTCGGCTATGACTTCTTGTTTTGTTCAGGGCAAGGTCCGCTTGAAGGAGGAGGAAGATGAGGCTGCCGAAAAGGCCCGCATACCTGAGCAGCATCGCGCAGCCTGAGGGCTTGTGCCCTGGCGTTTAAGTGCCCGAGGATCGCCTCGAAAAGAAGCGTCTGGCAGAGAAGCGTCGTGGCCTTGGCAATGCAAGCTTTCTGATTCTGCCTCCAAATCTGGTGTACCACAGGCCGCCGTCGTGCCGAGAGAGCTTTAAAAAGAAACGAAGCTCTGCTGCGTGGTGAGGTCCGTGGCTGTGTGCCACGAGACTCGCTGGACTTGGTTGGGATAAGCTTCCTTGACAGGATCCTCCGCCACTAGTCGAAGACTCAGAAGAGGAAGGCTTTCAGCCTGAAGACGATCCCAAGGCAGAACCTGCTCAGATCTGCTCAGCTGTCTTGAGACGTGAGCTTTGTTTTGCTTTCCCACTGGGTGTTGCTTGCCGGAGCAGGATCTGATGCAGATGCAGGAGTTGTGCAGAGCTCAGTGGCACTTCAAGTGTTGCAGAGACGGCTATCACACACCTGATGGCTTCCCTCCGATAACTTCGCGGCCAAGGATAGAAGCATCCCCCCAAGGTTGGAAGCTGACAATGTGGCTTCTTGATAATAGCTAGTTTGTGTCTGGTATGTGCCCGATCAGATGACGGCTGCATGGACTGGTCGTAGCGAAGGGGATGGTTGGGTGCTGGACTAAATGCATTGGGCAAGTGCGTGACTAGCAAAGTTTCCGCGGAGGTCTTCCTAGGTTTCTCCCTTTGCGCTTTCCATTTTCTCGCAAAATGCAATCGGTACGGGGCAGAGCCCATATAGCTTGTGCATGCAGCCAACACGCAGGGGTGAGGACGAGAAGCTCCAGAAGTGAGGATTCGCCTGCGGCCTTGCCCTGAGAAGACCCAGCAGAATGCTAAGAAATTCACTCCGCCGACTTGATGAGGCGACTTCGCTGGCAAACTCGCTTTCGCCTCCGCCTCTGTGCGGGCCTGAGACATTTGCCAGTTGGAGACCTGCCCCAGATATAATATAATATAATATAAGATA